TAGCCCTTCAGCCTCAGGAAGCTTTAGCAGTTTTTGTTTTCTTTTTAATGTGGTAAAATAGATATGATGTAAAATGTACTGTCTTTAGGATGCAGTTTAGTGGCACTGCGAACACTCACTATTAAACCACATCACCGCCATCCACCTCCAGAACCTTTCCATTTTTCTAAGCTTTTCTGTACCTATTAGACACTAGCTCCACACTCTCTTCGCCCCTAGCCCCTGGCAACCACCATTGTATTGCTGTCTCTGTGAATCTGACAACTTCAGTTACCTTGTGTAAATGGAACCAGACAATATTGGACCTTTTCTGCCTGGCTTGTTTCATTTAGCATGATGTATTCCAGGCTCATTCATGTTGTAGCATATGTCAGAACCTCCTTGCATTTTAAGGGTGAATAACGTTCCACTTTATGTATGTACCATACTGTGTATTCCTCATCTGTAGATAAGCATAGGCTAGTTCCACTTTTCGGCTCTTATGACTAATGCTGCTCCTATCCACGCTTTCATGATTTTGGGTGTACACACAGAAGTGAAACTGTCATATCATCCGATAATTTTGTTTTGCACAGCAGCTGTCTCTATTCCCAGTCCACAAGGGTTCCAGTTTCTCTATATCCTTATAAACACTTGTTATTGCCTGTGGGTTTTTGTTTTTGACAATAGTTATCTTAATGGATACGAAGTAGAGTCTAGAGCTTGTGATTTGTACTTTCCTAATGACGAGTGATATTATCTAAATGATTAGCATCTTTTTATACTCTCATTGGCTATGAGTATATGATGTTTGGAGAAATGTCTCTGAGACTTTTGCCCATTTTTAAATGACATATTTTGTTCTTGAGTTGTAGAAGTCTTAAAATAGATTTTGAATATTAAGACCTTGTGATTTTCAAATACTTACTTGCATTTCATAGTTTTCTTTTCACTCTGTCCATACTCAGTTTGGTCCTTTTGATTAAAAAATTTTAATTTTGATGTTTAATTGATTTATCATTTTCCTTTTGTTGCCTTTGGTGTCAGATCTAAGAAATCACTACCAAACCCAATGCAATGAAGCTTTCCCCCTATTTTCTGCTCATGGGTTTTAATAGTAGTTTTAGCTCTTATTTCGATCCATTTTGAGGTAAATTTTGTATGTGGTATAAACATTCAAATTCATTCCTTTCAAATGTGAATATCCAGTTTATCCAGCACCAGTTGGTAAAAAAAATGACCTTTCCCCATGTACTGAGTTGTCGCCCTTGTCGATGTATATGCTAGGGCTTATTTCTGAGTTATCCTGTTCCATTGGTCTTTATACTGATACCACACTGGCTTTTTATATCGTATTTTTATTTGTTTTTGAGACAGAGTCTCATTAAGTCACCTATGCAGGCCTTGCACTCACATTCCTCCTGCCTTAGCTTCAGCCTCAGATTACAGACGCTCAACACCATGCCTGGATTATTATTTATTATTTTTAAAGCAGTGTTGCATTCACGGTAAAATTGAGCAGGAGATGCAGTGATTTTCCATATATCTCTTGCCAGGCCCCCCTTCCTGTAGCCTTTCCCAACATCAGCATCCTGCAACAGAGTGGTACATTTATTATAACTGGTGAAACTATATCCATACTCCATGATTACCCAAAGTAATGGGTTCTCTCTTGGTGTTTTATGTTCTATGAATTTTGTAAAATGAATATTGCATTATCAGAGTCGTTTCACTGCCTTGAAAATCATTTGTGCCTTGCCCATTAATCCCTTTCTCCTTTCCACACTCTGGCATCCACGTATTTTTTTCCTGGACTCTTATAGACTGCCCCCATAGTTTTGCCTTTTTCCCAGAGTGCTATAGAGTTGGGAATCATGCAGTATGTAGCCTTTTCTAATTGGCTTCTTTCATTTAGTAATAGATATTTATGGCTCCTCCATGTCTATTCGTGGCTTGACAGCTTATTTCTCTTTAGCACTGAATAATATTTTATTGTCTGTATGTAGCACATTTTATCCAGTCATCACTCCCTAAACACCATCTCGGCTGCTTTCAAGGTTTGGCAATTACAAATGCAGCTGCTATAAACATTCATGTTTGGGGTTTTGTGTGGACATGTTTTCAACTCACTTGAATAAACGTCAAGGAGTACAACTGCTGGATCGTATGGTAAGAGTATGTCTAGTTTTGTAAGGAACTGCCAAACTATCTTCCAGAATGGCAGTGCCATTTTTCATTCCTATCATAAACGAATGAGCTTGTGTTGCTTCATATCCTTGTCCGTGTTTGATGTTGCCAGTGTTTTCAATTTTTTGCGAGTATAATAGGTTGCAAATGCGCAGTGACATCTCATTGTCCTATCAAAAGGTAGCTTTGTTTTTAGTGTGGACATCAAGAGACATGAGATCTCCAACTTTGTTCTATTTCAAAAGCTGAGTATTTGGGGTTTCTTCCAATCCTGCGTGAGTTTTGAGATTATTTTTCTATATCTCCCCCTAAAAGTTATGGGAATTTTGGTACTGCATGGAATCTGCAGAATCACTTTGGGTGGTGTTAACATCTTAAACAATACTACATCTTTCAATCTATGGATGTGGAATGTCCCATAGGGAAAACATTTTTGGTGCCTTCAGTAGTCTTTTGGGAATATTTTGTTGGTTTCAGTGTATAGGTCTTTCATCCCCTCAGTTTGTAAGTGTTTTATCATTATCGATCTTATCATGAATAGAGCTTTTCTGAATTTCCTTTTTTGGATTGTTCATTGTCACTGATTTTTACATGTTGATTTGCAATCCTGCAACTTTTCTGACTCATTCATTATTTTTAACAGTTTTGTGTGGATTATTTTAGGGGTTTCTACATATGAGGTCAGGTCCTCTATAAACAAAGATAATTTTTACTTCTTCCTTTGCTTTTCTTTCTTTCTTTTTCCTATTACTCTAGCTTGAACAGCTAATACTACATCGACTAGAAGTGGTGAAAGTTGCATTCCTTCTTTTATTCCTGATCTTAAGAGGAACATCTTTCAGTCTTCTACCACTGAGTGTGATGTTACCTGTATATGCAAACAGTTTTTAAAGGAGATTAAAAGGAGGTAGGATGATGAATTCCTGGGACCTGTTTAAAATTCTGTGCCTCTCTCTTCCGAGCCCCTGGCACAGTGTCGGGCACATATTGATTAAATGGATAACTGTTAAAGAAAGGTCACTTCTCAAAACTTAATGAACTACTGGTACTTCTGAGTGGTGGGTGTTGAGTTGGTGTTCATGAGGATGGAAAGTATTGAAGGGCAATTAGTAGGATGAAGATATGTCTTCATTTTGCCCACTGACAGGGAGTAGGGGTTGGACACTCATGGGCAAAAAGACCACTTTGATCTTACTACACTTTCCTTGGATAATTCTGGGTGTTAGTAACACCTCTATGGTTATCTTTCCCTTCTCAGTATGAGCACATAACAGCTGGAATAAAATAACATACGTTGTATCTCTTGTTTTTATGACTACTGAATAAATAACTTACAGCCCATTGGATGCACAGAAAATGAGTGAAATGCTTTGAATTATAGATGGAAGTTGTTAATGCTAACAGAGTATGCAACATATGCCTTACTTTGGCACTGCTTTGAAATAATGCAACTGATTTAAAGGGCTGGAGTCTGTTTGCCTTCTGTTTAATTTGGAATGGTTCGAAACCATGGAGTCACCACTATTTCATTAGTCATGCCATGTTCTTTCATTGGAACTTATCCCCTCAAGTTGGAGTAGATAAAAATTCTGATTAACTATAGTAGTCTAAGAATGGGAAAATCAAATAATTTTATTTAACGCATTTGGGACTTGTCTCCATTTGGACTTTTTGAGCTAGTGTGTCCTCACTTTTCCCCTTTACCAAGGTCATCTGGGTGACAGATTTAGAAAGCACATCCTGTAAATACATATTTTTTAAAATAACTTTGAGAATTGGCAGGGTGTACTAGAAAGAACAGACCCTTTTGTCTCAGTGAGAGATTTTTTTGGCCGCAAATAATCCAAGCCATATAGATTGCACAAAGGGATTCTAGAATGTCAAAACATGTCTTCAGGTTACAAGCCATTCTGTAGGACCCAAGGCAGGAGGGACAGCCAGGCTCACAAGGGCCTGGGCCTAGGACCTGGAAGCCCCAGAATGGAGGTCACTGCATGTGTGTTTCCAGACTACATGGTTTCATCACCTCTTTTCTCTCCACATTTTCTCCTTTCTTCTCTCCCAGTGGCTACTGTTGTTTCTTTCTGTGCACAGCCAGACATAGCTGCCCAGCTCTGCTTTTTTATTGCTCCTAGTTCAAGGGTCAGTGGAGGCTGCCAGGCAGCCTACATTCCTGGAAGTCAGAATCTGGTTACCTCATCTTGAGTCAGATGACCACTCCAGGCCTGTTCTTTTATTAATTCAAAAGGTCTCTACTGAGTTCCAGGAACTGTTTGAGGTACTGGAAATATATCTTGCCCTTGTGAGGGTGGGGGGAAGGAGAGAGAGAGAGAAACAAGAGGAAAGGGAGAGGAAAGACAAGAGAGTGAAGAGTGGCTTTGAAAACTTATTCTTTGGGGGCTGGATTGAGAGTTGCAATTTTCAGAGAAAGGGAATTTAGAAAGGCCTGGATTCAAATCTTGATTCTTCCCCTTATCAGCTCCGTGTGACCCAGGGCATGTCAAATTACCTCTCCCAGCCTAGAGTTTTTAATCAGTAAAATAATTCTTTATGGGGTAGGCGTGAGGATTAAAGTGAAATGGTGCTTGGAAAGCCAGTGGTATATATAGTGTCTGACACATGGAATCAGAACTCTAATGCTCTGAGCATGTTATAAACCTGTCTAAATCTATTTCTTCATCTATAAAATGGGGAAGGGTGTCATCTGCCTCTCATGCTTGTTTTGAGGATTAAATCATGTGATTCATGCCAGGTGTCAGGAATTTGTACATAAAAGACACCCCGTGTGGCCACCGATCTTCTTATTAATCACTTTTCCCCCCTACTTTTTCTAGTTCCCATTTGGCCGACGCTTGCCTTGTGACATCTACTGGCATGGAGTTTCATTTCACGACAATGACATATTCTCTGGTCAAGTGAACAAGTTTCCAGGTATCTGCTGTTATTGTTAGCATTTGCAAGCGTTTCTAGGGCCTAGTCTCAGAGTAGCTCTTATGCAAAAACATGACATTGTTTTAAGATCACACTTGAGGACTCCTAATTGGCCATCACAGCTTGAGTTCTGCTGTGCTGCTATTACCTGGGGAGGGAAGTTAACAAGAGATAATCAGGATTTCAACCTCTAATGGTTTAAGGATGCAGATGGGCTCTCAAAGGCTTAAAGACAAACTTTCTTGGTCTAATTCTGCTGGTGGAAGAATGTGATTTTCACTTGTTGGGTTATAGATATGGTATGGGGGGGGGTCTAATGAGAAGACTGTCTTCTCAAAATGAAATCAGAGAACATTTCTCATACTGGAAACCAGAGTACTAAGACTGAAGGAATAAATCACAGAAATGAGATAACAGCTTTTCCCTTTCTTGAAGTATCATAGTTGGCAGTACCATTTTAAAAGCCAAATGCACCCGTCTCTGTACTATTATACACTTATTGTACTGTAGGCAGCCCCTGCTTTCTACCTAGTAACATCATCTCCATGAGACGTTCCCTACATGGAGGACTCAGTGTCACAAAGCTGTTCATAGCAGCTGCATATTGATACCCCTCCCCACCTAGCACCCTTATATACTTTTAATGAAATACTAACAATCTTTCTATAGTTCCTCCAAGCCTTAATCATGTTTATCATTTCTACATGATTGCAGCATGTAATTACCTAAATATAAGGTATAGTCTCTAAATAGTATATCATCTTTATTTGTATTAAATGGAAAATCAGCTTATACTTTCGTTTATTTTTATTTATTTTAACATGGTATCCCATGTGTTGAAGAAAACCACCTCTCCACATACTACACACTAGCTAGTTTGGCCATATGCACATGGAGGTCACTGCCATAGGCCATGCTTTGCTCAGATTCACTCAGAAGGATTCTCGGTAGGAAACGGAGTGTTCCCAGCCAGCCAGTGTGGAGCATTTCCCTTCAGTGGAGTATTTCCATGTGTTCTGGGGTCTCGTCTAGAGCCTCTCGAGAAAGGTCAGGAGGAAGGAAGCAAGATTCACATCTGTCTTGGCTTAGATCCCCCCACAAAAAGAAGCATCTCTTGAAACCATTCCACAGCAAGCTTCCAGGTTCCATGCAAAGATTGTGTAAATTTACAAGAATCACCGATCTCTGGAAATCCTAGCCCTGTGGCTCCTACAGGTATTTTTACAATTTAACAACCAGGGATTGTTTTAACCATCCGCTGTGTTGTCTAAATGATACAGCTAACATTTGACCTGTATTGCTTTTTAGGGGAACAGTGACAGGAAGTTAACAGTAGGTCAAATTTGTCCTCAGGGAAGGAGAAAGCGTTTATTAGAGAAAAAGAGTGACTCTTGCAGACAGGATTTTTGCATACCAGTGTGATGTATTTTCTGTCTTGCTGTGCAGAGAAAGGATACTTTTTGATGTTCCTAAAAGCGCTTTTTGAGATTTTGGGAGAACACGATTTGGAAGAGAACAACTCTTTGAATGGAACAGAGTTCCTGAGACATGAATTACCAAAAGAGGCTAATCCATATTTTCTCCACTGTTCATGCTGCATCTCATGGCTCAGAGTGGGAAAGGAGTAGCTATGGGTCTATATTTGAAAAACACGTTAGAAATATAGACAGAAATACTCCTGAAGGACTAGTTTGATGAAAGGTGACAAAAGAACATGCATTCCAAAGAAGCAAGTTTGCCCCATCCCATATTCCACACGCCAATGATCGGAACATGTAATTTTTCACTTGGCTAACAGCAGTTAATGAGCTCTAATGACAAAGGTTCTGGAACCGCTAGGCAGCTGAAGAGTGCTGCGTACTTTCCACCCTATAATGGACAACAATCCCCAGCAGCAGAGCAATTCCAACACTGGCTGTCCTTTGGCTCCAGGTGTGTCCACATTTACCTCTGACTCTTACGTGTCCCATTATTCTAAAAATGGGTTTCTCGCGTATGGCACTCTCATGTTAACTTTATTTGCTTTCATTAATTTCTGTGGGCAATTTCTCTGTTCAGAATACATTATTTAAGCTTAATTGATGCATTACGGCTTTGTATTTAAAAAAATAATCTGACTGGGGTAGCTCGATGTGAAGGGACAGGGTTTAATCCCCAGTACTGGAAAAAAAAATCTGATTTAGATAGGTCTTTGGTTTACGAAAGTCTAAAATGGTCAATTCTCTGCTTATAAAAAGTAGGTTTTTGCTGAGTTTCCTGGTCTGAGATGTATGGCAGCACTTACCTGCAGGTGGAACCTGAGAGCTGATCACAAGGAGGGTCTTTTCTGTCTTAGAGAGAAGGGGCTCATCGAAGAAACTCTGGGGGTGGCCAGCACTGCTCTGGGGGTGCAAGGACAAGGAGAACGGCGTGCAGGAGAGTAAAACGCAAAGTGCTATGTCAGAGACAGCTTGGTGGGTTAGGCAGGCAAAGTGAGATTCTGGAGAAAAGGATTTGCTTAGGAACTGAGCCTCTGGGCATAGAGCAGAGCTGGTGCAAAGGCACGTAGCACTTGGAGCAGGGCTCATTCAGTGAAGACCAAGTGGGCCATGATGGTTCAAACAGGTCCAGTGAACGGGGCAGTGGAGAAATGATAACTAGGGACCTACGAACAGCACTGTTACAGGCTGGAAGTTACAGGAAGCCGGGGAAGCATTTTACAACCAGAGAACGACACAGGCCAGCTTGTGGTTTAGAAAGATCAGTCAGAGGGATGTAGAGGAGATAGATGGGAGGGCCAAATGCGGGAACAGGTACAGCCAAGAGGCTACTGAAGTATCCAGGCAGAAGATCAACTGATTAATGGTGGTGGGAATAGGAGAGAGTGAATCTGAAAGTATTTGGGTGTTGTTTGGTGGCTGTAATGTGTTTTTGTTGAGAATTATTGTTATAAATGCTACTTGGATTGCAGAGTGCTCCTAACTCAGCTCAGTTTGTTTTGTTTTCATTGGCATAGGTAGGGCTATATGGGCAAGCCTGAGGATCAAGCTGTTCGGCCCTCGGTTGACTCCAAGGAGATGAGGTCTACCAGGGCTTGTGGCCCCAGAGTAACATACAGAAAAACCTAAGCCTCAGAAGAAGTGGAGGGAGGCAAGCCCTTGGTGTCCAAGCTCTAGTTTGAGTTAGATGGTTTGCCCAACTGATAGAGGAACTGGCATTTTGGCACATCCAGGGGTTAAATCTTACCAAGAAACCTAGGTAGGTAGTCCCCTTCAGTGGAGCCTGTTAGTCTAGCAGGACCCCAGATCCTGGGCTAAAGTCACAGATAGGGTCCAGCCTATTGGGTTGGCTTAGGGAAAACAGGGGAGGATGGAGAGAGAAGCATTGAAGAGAACAAGGCACTCAGCTCTGTGCATTCCTAAAGCAGCCACTCAGATACTTGGAGCAAACATGGGTTTTGGAAATTTGGGATCAAGCAATGGAGCCTTGGACAGAAATATCAAAGCTTCCTTATCCAATTGGAACACAAAGCTGAGGTCAAACTTTGAGCAGAGAGGAGCTGGTAGTTAGACCTACAACTTTCACGTCAAGTCAGAATGAGTTCCAGAGCACAGTGAGGAGCCCAGGTAGGGAGGCATCAGGTGGTGCAGCTGCTTAGAGAAGGGAGCCTGGCAGGGACCTCCCTTTCACACATCTCCTCTGGGGACGTGTGCCCTGGCTCTGTTAGACACCCAGCTACTCTGTCAGGGTGGTAGTGTGAGAAGATGACAATATCACAGCTGCCTCTGAGCCAGTGCAGAGGCAGGGATGTCAGCTGCTTCCACACAGGGTCTAGTGAGGGGCCAGAGACTTTCCCCGGCAGCACCAAGTGGAGACACAGCTTAGATATGAAGAACAGATGTTGATAGTATGTGGCTTGAGGGAGGTCTACACTGGTACCTCCTGGAGACAGGCTTTCAGGCGGGGCTGGGGATGAGCCATTGAGCCTACAGGCAGGAAGTAGAGGGGGAAAAGTAGCCACTTGCCATACAGGTGCTGCTTTTGTTGGCTGTTTTCAGCAGAGAAGTGCCTGGAGACACAAAGGTCAACCTGGAAACAGATCTGTCAGCTGGCGTGGGGAAAGAATGTAGAGGACACCAGGAGCCATTGCACAGCACCTGTAAAAAAGCCACTAAAAGGCAGAAGTACCACATCTGTGGTCAGGAGTCACCATCTACTCGGTATGAGGTGCTCTACGTTAGCGCTCATTTGGAAGGCTTTCAATTTAATACCATAATTAAAATGTTAGTCAGATACAAGTTAAAAGGTTCCAAAAATGTTGAGATTTTGTTTTGCTTACTTCATATTCAACTGTTTTATAATTCCGAAATGCTAATTTTTCGGGCAGATGAAGAAAATAGCTGTAATTTTCCAGACTTATTTCCCGGAACGCCCAGAACAGTATCCTCAGTGACTTGAAGAGTGAGGAGTCCACATTAGACACAGATTGTCAGAACCTTTGAAGCTCTTCTATTTCTCATTTAATCCTACTCTATACCCTTCTACAAAGGAGCTGACAAACTAGGTGCTGACACCGCGAAGCTGTGACCTTTTGATTTATTGCTCTTTTTTTCTTTTTCTTTCTTTCTTTTTTAACATTTTGGGGGAAGCAAGATGTTGGTTATGTGGATTCACTGTCTCCTGAAAAAGGGCACTGGGCCCATTTGGAATGTGTGATAATTTGGCTGTTCGAAGCTGACATGGACGTCTTTCTACTAAATAAAACTTTGCTAGGCAAATTTCTAGTGTCAGTAAGGAACTTCATGTGTAGTCTCTTTCAGGGGAGAAGCTATTTTTAGCCCCCATTTTTAGCAGTGATTTTTGCCTTAGGAAATAAGCAGGCTAAAATTCACAATAATTTTCACCCATTTGCTGAAGCATTACTGAGATATATACTCGGTTTCTTCTCTTGTCAGAATTACTAATGATGTTAAAAGGAAAAAAAAGACTGCCATCCTTTTAGGTGTTTTTTTTAAGTGAGACATTTAAGTACCTTTGGGCAAACTAATGACAGCTGATCCATGTCAACGTCGGTACTTTTCAATGGAAGAGCAACTGCGGGTCGCATTTTCCCCTTTAAACTCTAAATTGTGATATTACATATCCTTTCCATTTCCTGTCCTTGATTCAAGGAGACAGACTTTTATGCTGAAATGTGTAGTTTTCTTTCTTATACCTTTAATATCCATGAAAGATTAAAACAAAACAACTTAATTAAGCTTCTCAGAATGTCACCAGCGTCCATTGGGTAATATTCTCTAGGGTACAAGATAGAAGGACTCATAGAAATATGTGCGCTGTCCCCAAATTAAAGAGGGCATTAAATTTTAAGTACAAGATGGGAACATTTCTCTATTCATTACCCACCGGGATGACAAATAACAGAATAAGAAACTAGGTGAAAACACAGCCTTTCAATCTGACGCTTCATTTTTACAATGAGAAAGAAACCCACCCATCTATTTTCATTAATTTGATAGACCTTTTCAAACCACGAGTCTCCACTGTGGGGGATAATTCATACCTGTTTTGTTTTTGTTTTTGTTTTTTTCAAATGCTGCCTGAAAAAGTGACTGTGGTGGGCGGGTGTTTCACAAGTCCCAAATAACAGCTGTTTTATAGCTAGTGGCCCACAGTTGTTCAAACCTCACAGCTTCTCTTCTTCCCAGGCATGACGGAGATGGTGCGTAAAATTACTCTGAGCAGAGCAGTGAGAATCATGCGGAATCTCTTCCCTGAGGAGTACAACTTCTACCCTCGCTCGTGGATTCTGCCTGATGAGTTCCAGCTCTTTGCTGCTCAGGTAGATGGCACCCTGTCCCCATGACCCTTGAATCATATTATGCTTGTAACTGTGTCCTGGGTTCTGTGTGCTGTGAGCTCGGTCGGTGGAACCCTAGGAAGCTAAGCCTGACTGAAGGAGCCATTCGCCCATGTGCAGCAGGTGTGGGCAGCCATCAAGGCAGCCGAACAGGTTAGGGGATGCGTACGGAGACTGAGAAAGAGGATCCTGGCACAACGAGACAGGCCAGAGCCAAAAAATGGAACTGGGTCACGGGGTCAGGACACTGGGAGGCTGGGAGATGGAGCCCGAGCAGGTGCTGGACCACAGTGGAATGGGGCCATTTGGGGGATCCTAGAGGACAGGTCTCCCCCACTTCCGGTGTTATGAAATGTGGGCGGCTGGGCTGTGTTGAAAGGCCAGAGAGTACATGTGACAGCCCAGCAGGGAAATCTTTGAAGTGTTCTACTTTAAAATGGTTTCAGAATCAACTCGCAAATGGTCCACCTGTTCTACCTTGAAACAGTGCGTTTGAGCATGAAATTCTTTGGCGCCTCCACTACTGGCTGTAAAATAGAAGCATCAGGGAAGCAGGACTCAGAATGGCCACTTTGGTCGTCCTTTAACAGTCACATAGCACCATGGGGAGACCTTTGGCGAATTCTGCAGTCCACGCCCCATACTATGGGCTAACTGTGCAACAAACGCCTGCATGACTGTGATAGGGCGAATACCATGTTCCAGGCATTATGTCAGGTGCTCTTTTAATATTCACAGCAGTATTACAACGGTTTTTTTAGATATAGTACTTCTACTCTACGGATGAGGAGAACAAAGCTTCAAGAAATTTAGTGACATGCTCAAGAAGTAAGATTTAAATCTAGAGCTGATTCCAAGACTTATGGCTATCATAGCTTATTTTAGGGCCTCCGTATTGTTTTGATTTCCATATTGGATTATAAAACTTATAATAAAATTACAATTTATGGAACACAAAACACCTTGAAGTGAGAGTTTAAAAAAGTGCTCTGTGAGGGGGTGGTCATGTGGGTCTGTACACATTGTTAAAAATGCATCAAACTATTAATTTGGACGCATTCTATCACTTGCAAATTATACTTGAAATAAAGTTAATTTAAGAATAACTGCCAGCTGTTGCCTGTACTCACTCCGATTTCCCTGTCCTCTGACTGCTCACCCGGTTGTAGCCATGTGAAGCCCCTTTCCTCCCCATCTCTGCAGCTATCTGTGTCTAGCGTTTATGCAAGGACAAGTTAAGATGAGATCCAGCTGTCTTCAAAAAAATCTAGTTAAGTAGGGTCAGAGGTTTGGCTCAGTGGTTCTGCCGCCTGCCTGGAAAGTGCAAGGTTCTGAGTTCGATCCTCCATTAAAAAAAAAAAGATCTAGTAAGTGCCAAGAGCACATCCATCAGCCTTTCCTAAAGTCCCTTTGGGCCCCTTTACAGTCGACTCCCCTAATCTCCTCTCCCGGCAACCACTGGTCTGTATTTTCTTTATAGATTAGTTTGGCCTGATCAAGAAACTCATATAAATGGAACCATATCATATCTACTATTCTGAATCTTTTTTTTTTCCTCTTAGGATTGCGTTTTTGAGATGAATCTGTTTCATATGTGTGTATCAGTGCTTTGTATTTTTATTGCTGAATGATATTCCATTGTGTGAATACACCACAATTTGTTTATATCCTTTCAGCAGTTGATGGACATCTGGGTTATTTCCAGTTTGGAATGTTATAAATAAAGCTGCCATGATTGTTCATATGCAAGTCATTTTGGGCTAGGTGTGGTGGTGCACATCTGTTGTCCCAGTACTCGGGAGGCCGAGGCAGGAGGATCACTATGAGTTTGAGGCCAGCCTGGACTAAATAGCGAGATCTTGTCTTTTTAAAAAGGCACTTTAAAGATATGTTTATGTTTTCTCTCTTTGGGAAATATTTATGAGTGGAATTTTTTGATCACATGATATGTGTATGTTTAACCTTATAAAAAATGCCAGACTTCATACAAGCAATTCCAAGTCACTGTACATCTCAGGGACAATGTGTAAGAGTTATAATTGTTCCACATCATTGCTAGAACTCTATATTGTTAGTTTTTAAAACTGTTGACATTCTGGTAGATGTAAACTTACATTGTTTTATGGTTTTAATTTATACATCTCTGATGGCTAGATAGTAACTTTTTGTGTACTTTTGGGACATTTAAATATGTTCTCTTGTTACGTATATATTCAAAAGTTTTGCTCACCATTACTGTCATTTTATTTGGAAGTCATAGGTTCTTTATATATTCTACATTTGTCTTTTATGTGTGTATTATTATACACACATTATTTAAATATTTGCAGTTATGAATTAGTGTTTTAGAAGATTGAGGTATCTTGTGGCTTTCAAGGAATTAGTCCTTCTATATCTACGTTGTCCAGTTTATTGACATGGAATATTTAAAAATAGTCCTATTGCTAATATTAATTATCTCCTTTTCCCTCTCAGGGGACTGAACCTAGGAGGCACTGGGCTACAACCCCAGCTCCCTTTACTTTTTTATTTTTGAGAACAGGTCTTGCAAAGTTGCACAGGCTGGGCTCTAACTTGGAATCCCTTTGCCTTGGCCTCTAAAGTAGCTACAGGCATATAGCACCATACCTGGCTTAGAATTTCTCTTTTTTATTTTTATTTTTTTCTAAGTTTTAAAAATAATTTTACAGGAAGACTTTCTCTTTTCTAAATGATCAATCTAGCTAAAGGTTTATTAAAATTATTGGTCTTTTAAAAAACAATTTTATTGTTTGCCTAATTTATATATCATTGATTTCTTCTTATTAAAATTTCCTTCTTTCACTTCTTCTCTGTGTAATTTGCTCTTCTTTCTTAAAAAGCATGAACCAAAGATCATTAATTTTCAAACCTTAAAGCAATAGATTTTCTTCTAAGCACTGTTTTTTTAGTGCATCCCAGAAATCTTTATATATTAAATTTACACCATTATTCAGTTCAAAATGTTCTCCTATTTGCCTTGGGATTTCTCTTTTGCCCATGGATAAGTTAGGATCGCATTAATTTTTACGACAATCTAAGATTGTCCAATGATTTTTATTGATTTCTAATTCAATTTTGTTAACATCAGAGGGAATATTATTATCTCAAACATTTAAATGTATTGATATATAAGCATACATATACATATATAGAGAGCATTTTGGTGAATATATTTCACATACACTTAAAATAATTTGTATTCTAGAATTATTGGTCCTATGAATGATACTATAAATGCCTGTTAGGCCATATTAGCATTTGCATGGTATAGCTCTTACCATTCTTTTATTTTCAACCTAGCTGCAGTTTTTTTTGTTTTTGTTTTTGTTTTTGGTTTTCTGAGACAGGGTCTCACTATGTAGTTGAGACTGACCTGGAACTCACTATGTAGCCCAGGCTGGTCTTGAACTCACAGTGATCCTCCTGCCTCAGCCTCCTGAGTGCTGGGATTACAGGCATGCGCCATCACGCCTGGCTTGCAGTTTTAAAGAATACTTCTTGTTAGGGAAAAGAAAAAAATATGAGAAATGGAAAAAAATGGAAACAATGTCTTTGTAATTAGGGAAGGATGGAGTGGGTGAAGGGAGGGTGTGGGGTTGAGGAAAAAATAAGAACCAAGATACATCATGTAAAGGTACCAGATCCCAATGATAAAGGCAACTACTGTATACCTACAAAGTACCAATAAACCCAATGAGAGAAAAAAAAAGAATACTTCTTGTTGACAGCATATACTTAGGTTGTTGTCTTTCTTACACTGTGAAAATCTCTGCCTTTGCATTAGTACGTGTAGTCCATTTACGTTTAATGTGATGTAAGTGCTGGATTCGCATTTACAATTTTGCCATTTCTTTTCTCTTTATCTTGTTTGGATTAGTTGAATATCTTAACCTTTTCTTTTGTCTCATTTTTGGGTTTATTAGCTCTACCTATTTTTAAAATGTTCTCTGGTATTTTCCTCATCCTTGACCCCAGGGTTTAGAATACATCTTTAAGTTGCCACATTTACTAAGTGTTACATATTTCAGGCAAAATATAAACATTTTACAGCAGTGTACCTTTATTCCTACCCCATCCTATGTTCTTCCATCATGTATTTTACTTCTAACTCCAGAATACTGTACTTTTAAAATATTTTGTGCTTTGCAAAGTTGATTATCTTAAAAAAAAAAAACCTGAAGAGCAAGTATATTTGTCTTTTCCACTCACCCTATATTTACAATTTCCATTCTTTCGTGTAGCTCTGGGATTCCATCTGGTAGTGTTTTCCTTTGGTTTTAAGGATTTCTGAAGTTATAAAAATTGGTTCGTTCCCTTTTAATGCCCTTTGTGCAACTTCCTACTATTAACATTTATATAATTAGTGGAACTGGGTCATTAACATTGACACATTATTAAATAATCTGTGCATTGTATTTGGGTTTTGCCTTTGGTCTATTGATGTTCTTTTCTGCTACAGAATCCACTCTGTGACCTCTGCCTGCATCTAGTGGTCCCTTCTCCTTAGTCTCCCAGGATGTTACAGCTCCTCATTCCGTCTCTGTCTCTCATGACCTTGACTCACGTGAAGTACCTCCAGGTATTGTCCGTTTAAAAGGGTGATAATCAATTTGTTTCCATCTGATGTTTCTCATCATTAGGTTTAGAATATGCAGTTTGGGCAAGAATATTACAAAAGTGATGTGACCTCAATGCAGCCTAGCAGGAGGAACCGATGTCATTGTCATACTCCTGGTGGCATTAACGTGGTCACTTAAAGTAGTGTCTGTTAGTAATACTTTTTATCTTTTACATCACTGTTTTGTGAGGAGATATTTTTAGATTATACAAATCGCCCATCTTGTATTATTTGTTTGTTACTTTGTTTGTTTGAGTTAGGGTCTTGCTATGTGATTCAGTCTGGCCTTGAACTCACTATGTAGCTCAGGCTGGCCTCAAATTTATGAAGATCCCCCTGCCTC